AGCTTGAGAATAGCGTCCTCTCAGGACAGAGCCTAATTAGATGTTTTCGGTGGTCCAGACATGGAGGGTCCCCTCACCTAACCACAGGGGCACCTTTTCAGAAAGGGGACACACACTTTGATGTTCAACTTCGAATGTGTGTCCATGATGTCATGTGTTCAGCATTTGGTTTGTAAAACCTTGGTCTGTTGTTATGTTAGTGAGCTACGAGACTGAGCATGCAGGCTGGTATACATACTATGATTTGACTCTTCCTCTGGGGGAAGAGGCTGTTTGCCAGGAAATTACACAAAAGAATGTGTGTGTCTGTGTTTTGACAGATCCTTTCAATTCACATACCACATTTCAAACTGGTTTTTAAAATATAAACATACAACAAAAATGGTTTAAACAACCCTTAAAATAAAAGGAAAAAATACAATAGAACTAAAATAAAGCAAGTAAGGACTAAATGCAGCAAACAAGTAAACAATTTCATTTTAATGGTTAAACTTTTAAAGAAATAATAGCATACATAGTCATAGAGAAAATAAAAAAATGTTTAATTCAGGAGAGATTATCTTTCTATCAGTTACTATCTGAGTACACATTCTGTACTGTGTGGGCGTGTGGGTGTGTGAGTGTGTGTGGACATGAAAAGAGTGAGGAAAGCAAGTGTTGTAGTGTGAAGGTTTTTGAATGATAAAACAAAAGAAAAAACATCCCTTGATGACATTTTTAGGTTGACAGTAATTATAGAAGTCCTTTTCTGAGTGTGATCATAAAGAAGTATTTCAGTCAGATAAATGAGTGTGAGGGGGTGTTTTTATTTAGATACAGTTTGTATCTTTGTTGCATGTGCAAATGTGTGTCTGCGTGTGTGTTCCTGGTCTGATAAGGGGGATGAGTTTTCCCAGGTCTGTTGTCTCTTTCATCAGCAGACGAGTGACAGGTTCCCAGGGTCAAATGGATGACCCTGCCTGTGTACTGTCATTAAACAGTTACATCACCACCTAATTATACTGGCCTGCTGCACCGACACAGGCATTGGACCCCAGCACCGTGGTCTGAGATGCTAAGTGAAAAAGTGGGTCAAAAAGAGACGGTCTTTGATGAGAAGAAGCAAAAGAACAGACAGGGAGACTGAGGGCATGTGTGGGCATGAGTCAGTGGTCAAAGCAAAATCTGCCCAGACAGACTTGGAGTGCTGTCCAGCTCCCCTTTCCAGAAACTCGGATGAGAGTTGACATAAATTAGAGCAAAGGCTCACAATGACTTAAGGGGGATTGTGTGTGTGTGGGGGAGTGTGTGTGTGCACATAGACACTGTTTGTGTTTCTCTTTATTAGTAACGCTAGGCAACAACGATGGCAGTGGCTCCATACACCTGCAGTTCAGCATGCCAATGTGCCAATCAGACCCCAAAAAACCCACACACACACACACACACACACACACACACACACACACACACACACACACACACACACACACACACACACACACACACACACTGACTCTGTGCCCACCTGGCCCTGCATGGTACGGCTGAGCAGTGGCCTGAAGAATCCTGTCTTTGTTTCCTCTGCAGTTTAAAAGAGTGTCTTAAGATCTATTTTTCTCCCTCTCTGTGTGTAATTGTTTTGGGCCCCGTCCACACGGACACGAAACGTGTTGTATCTGCTACAGTTCTCTATCGCAGTGGTTCTCAAACTTTTTTCAATCATGTACCCCCTTTGAAAAAATAATTCAGCCAAGTACCCCCTAATCAGCGCAAAAAAATGTTGTTAAGGAAAAAAAGCCTATATAAAGAGGTACAGTACAGCGCTGCACCATCAGTGTTTGGTTTATTAAAACAACAACCTTGTAACTGCAGTTATTACACTTCGCGTTTTGAAATAATTTCAAAACGCGAAGTGTAATAACTGCAGTTACAAGGTTGTTGTTTTAATAAACCAAACACTGATGGTGCAGCGCTGTACTGTACCTCTTTATATAGGNGAGTAGATAAACTAGCTAAGTGTGTTAGGTCTAACTCTTAGTGTACTTTGGTCCGCTCAACGGTCCGTCACAGCGGCGGAGCTGCGATCATGCAGAGCTGCGTGTTCTCCGTCAGCAGCAGCTGATCTGATCTCTCTCTCTCGCGTCCGGTTATACTTCACTCGCGTCTATGTCCAAATCTATCAGATCTAGCTAGTTCTAGTTAATTATATGACTGCCTACTTTTCAAAGGACCTAAACAATAAGCGTGTGGCCGCAACGGCGTGTGGCCGCAAAGTTTAGCGCAGTATTATGCATATGTTTATATGAGGGGTCAAAATCCCATACTCAGAAAATGCTCATATATTTTTTTCTCTTCATTCCCCACGCCCAAAAATTAATAAATATACAAATATACCAATTTTAGGAAAAGTAACGAAGTTTGAGCAGTGTGGGTTTTATATGAATAGACTAGAGTTACACATATTTCAAAACACTCAGTGT